CCCAAGACCATGACTTGAGCCAAAATCAAGAGCCAGACACCTAACAGACTGAGCCACCCAGGTGCACCAGGAAATGTTTGTTTTAAATTTGACTTGTTGCTATGATGTTAACTGTAGGTTTTCTGCAGATACTCTTTATCAGGTTAAGGAAGTTTTCTTTTATTACTAGTTTGCTAAGTGTTTTTATCATGGTTATAATTTGGACTTAATTGAATACTTCTTCTGCAGCTACTGATAAGAACATGTATCTTTTCTAATACATGAATGCAGAAAACAATACACATTTGCCTAATACTAACTCAACCATGCATTCTTAGAATAAGGCCAGTAACCCAGAACTTTTTACTTGTAGAGTCAGAAGAGGTTAGATGATACCTGCTTAAAACTCAATAAATTTTATGATGCTAGTCTTACTTGCTCACCTCAAGACCCTGTCTTCTTTACAGCATCGTTCCTGACTCATCCATGCCTTCTCTGAGCTCTTAGAGCATTTACTATTGATGTTACTCATTTGACACTTGGCATGCGTTAATTTTTGTATGTCCTGTCTCCCAACTTGACTACAAGTTCCTCAAGAAGCAGCTAGTAAGTACACAATAAATGATCACTTAAATTATTCTTGGGCGCCTGGGTGGCTCAGTTGGTTAAGCGACTGCCTCCGGCTCAGGTCATGATCCTGGAGTCCCAGGATCGAGTCCCGCATCGGGCTCCCTGCTCCGCAGGGAGTCTGCTTCTCCCTCTGACCCTCCCCCTCTTATGCTCTCTCTCTCTCTCTCATTCTCTCTCTCAAATAAATAAATAAAATCTTTAAAAAAATAAAATAAAATAAAATAAATTATTCTTGTGATAAAATGGTGAAACATGAGTTGGATAATAATGCAGCATCCTTAAAAAATGAGACTTCTGGACATGAATTTTCTAGAAAGGTGAAGTTTTAATCAGCTAATAGTCACTGAAACTTAAAAATCACTCTAAATTGTACTCCACACTTTCCTGCTTTGTTAACAGTGTTCTGGCCATGCTTTATTCATTTCTTGATTCTAAGCAAACTCAACTGTTACTTGTTGAGTACAGTCAATCATTAGGAATGTCAGTTATGGTACTGTACTAAAGATACAGCTGTGGATACATAACATGTGGGATGCAGAACCTCGGCTATGACCCTGAATGAATCTTTAATAAGGAAGAAAAAAAAACTGGCATTTTTTCCCCCTTTAGCACTGACCTCTAGTTAACTCTAAGCAGCAATTCACAGGACTCACAGATTCACACATTTCCTCCTCCACTCCACCCTCTTTTATCCCAGAATTACACAATGCAGAGCTGTAGGACTGATACATTTTTAGCAGTGATACTGTGAAAAGTTACCATTTCTCCAGATTACAACTACTTTCCACCTTGCTTTTCCACTGTGGACTCCCTTCTCTGTACCTACTACTAGCTGACCTCATCACTGCTTCTAATCTCTAGAGAGAAACAGCATATGGTGTAACTAAGCACAGAATCTGGAACCAGAATGCCTGGGTTCAAATGCCAATTTGACATTTACAGTTCAAAGCCCCAGGATAAGTTACTTAACCTCACTATTCCTCAGTTTCCTCTTCCATAGAATGAGAATAAACACATATCTAACCTCATAAGATTGTTATGAGAATGAAAGCAGTTAATATTTATAAAGTGCTTAAACCATTACCTAACATATAGTAAGCAACACACATATTGTTAAATAAATGGATAAAATACTGTCAGGTTGAACTCCACCACTCTCTTATCACTCTTAAATCTACTCCAGTATTTCTCATTTTGGGTTGTGGTTGTATTGGTCGTAGCGGTGGCAGACATTATTAACCGATCCTAGCACTCCTTCTCTCTGGTCAGTGCCTCCCTCACACATGGAAGGGAAGGGGGGGAGGTGTGTCAGGTGTATTCATTCACTGTTCTGTTAGCCAAGCTAAAGTAAGCACAGGTTAAAAAAAAAAAAAAAAGCTGTTTATTTAATCAGCATAACAGGAATCCAGGGACATGTGTGACTGCTATTTTCAAACATTTGCAGGGCTGGGATGGAGAAGAGACAGCATTTAAAATTATATGGAAGAGCTACAGTCTCCCCATCACTGAACATGTTTAAGCAGGAGACTGGTGACCAGGTGTAAGGATGCTGTAAGAAAGAACTTTTTAATTTAGAGTCAGATAAACTTTAAGATTCCTTCTACCTCTAAAGTCTTGGCAGTACTAGCGTGAGTCACAAAGACATCACAATCTAGTTGTGAATCACACATCGCCAACGCGCTCCTGAAGGCACAGAATTCTTCACTCCCCACAGTGCTTGGCACATTACAACAGATCGAGGTGAGGAATTCTAGCCCTCAGGCTGCGTATAACTCGGCTCACAGTGACAAAAACTTCTGTAAAACTCGGCGCGTCAATTAGCTGATCCCAGACTTCTGTTACGACCAACAAATACAATAAAGCATACATCCCAGACGGGATTTGGCAAAAAGATGTGCATCCGGATTAACTCTCAGACAGCGCTTCGCTGCACTCTTCCGAAGCCAGACAAAGCCGCCTCAAGGGAGCGGCAGGTTAAGGGGCAGGGGCAGGCAGGGTGGCCCGGGGGGGGGGCGGGAATGGGAGCCCAGCGAGCAGGCACGCGCAGGGGACAGGGACAAAGGCCTCGGGGAGAGCACGCTGGACTTGGAGGCCGGCAGGAGTGCCCGGGCCGGAGTGCCCAGCAGTCGGGGTGTGGACTGGGGATGCAAACGTGTGGGCGCCCGCAGGGTCCTCCCTGCCTCGGGTGAGCCCGCGCGGGGCCCCTCGCTGGGCCGGGGGCCGCCGAAGCCACAGCCCGAGGCGGGTCGCGCGGGGCAGGCCGGGCGGCGCACCTGCCTGCCGGCCTCTCGGGGCCGCACTGGGCTCCCCGCCCCCTGCCCCCCCCCCCCCCGCCGCGCAGCCCACTCGGCCTCGCCGCCGGATTTCGGATGGTCCAGACCAAACGCCGCCGCCGCAGCCGAGGCCGGTCCCCCAGCCTCAGACAGGCGGCCCGACCCGACGCCGCAGTCCTGCTGGGAATGGGGGGCAGCGGCTGCCTCCCGCCGGGCCCGACCCGGCCCCGGGCCGTGCGAGCGGCCGCCGCCATCGCGGGCCGCGGCTGGAGGGAGACGAGGGGCCGCGCCGGGCGCCACTTTACCTGAGAGACCAGCGGGAGCAGCGTCTGCTCCACCGAACGAGTTTTGATCTCCAGTCCCGAGTCGAAGGCGAAGCCCGACGGGCCGGCGCCGCCAACGCCTGCCGAGCCCGAAAAGGCGGCCATGGCCCTCGGCCCGTCGCGCAGCCGGGACGCCGCGCCACTGCGGGCCCGCCGCCCGCCACCCAGCACGCCCGCGACGGCGGCAATGCTACCGCGCCGCCCGAGGCCCCGCCCCCAGCCGAGCCCCGCCCCTGGCAGCCCCGCCCCCACGCGCTCGGGTCTAGGGTCTACCCCGCAGCCCGGCTGGGTCTGTCGTGCTCTGACTCGCCCCCGCCAGGACGGACCAAACTAGACACCTGCGGGCCTCCCACGGCTACGTGGCCTCTCACCGGGAAGAGGACAACTATCTCTAGCAAAGCATTTCGTCCTCCTGGTAGGTGACTCGGCTTAACTCCGAATTCCCACGAGGATTTCTAGAAGCTGAGCTAACTGGTGGAGCAGAGAATCACAGTCAAGTCTGTAGGAAGGGTCTTTTACCCTGAGACAGGAATTTTGCCGGTAAAGCGTCTTTCTGGAGCTTTCCTGAAGGTCCCACTTCCCCTTGGCTCCTCTTCTGACCCTCTCATTCTCACAATTTGGGCTGGATTAAGAATGAAACATTTGATAATGCAGCCTTAAGGAGTACCTGAGCACTTGGCAAGGAGGCAATGATTTGGGTATCTTTCAGGCTACTGTTCAAAATTACTCTTCAAAAGGAAATTAGAGCATATGGAAAAGCTTCACCTACTGTTCAACACTATTACATTTTAAAACTATTTTCTTAAGTAGGCTCCACACCCAGCGTGGAGCCCAAGGGGGGCATGAACTCATGACCCTAAGATCAAGACCCGAGTTGAAATCAAGAGTCAGCTTCCTAACCCACTGAGCCACCCAGGTGTGCCTAAAACTACTTTTGAGAATTACTTTTCCCCTAGGGCCTAGCACAGAGCAGTTTCCTAAAGGCTGTTTATTGACTGAAAAGATCATTAGTGTAGATTTCTGACTAAACTCACTAAAAGGAATCAGGGAGCCCGAAACTGATCAGATGGGAGGGAGAGCTGAACACCTCTTTCCCCAGGAGTTCAGAAGCAAAGCCAAAAGGAGGTTGTCAGAAACCCCTGTGAGGGGGTCCTCAGCTTAAGCAATAGACTGAGAAGCATGGAGAAATATTTGTGAACATATCTGCCAGTAAGCAACCAGCAGAGTAGAGAAGAATCTGAAGCTGGCGGGTCCACCCTTTCACTTTTGCCAGGATTATTTCTCCCTCCATGTCAGATTGATGAGCTGAACACCACCAACTCCAGGTGTCAGAGGCTCTTTCCCAAGCACTGTTGAAATGTGCTTCACAGCACTCCCACTTAGGGGTTCAGCTCTGTCTGCCAGGGCTGCACAGATATCTTTGCTGTTGAAGATAGCCATAAGGTAGGCTTGTTTTCTTCGTTCAAAACGTGCAGTTCCTTTAACCAACTTTCTCTGCCCCAGATTCTTACTCCCCAGCCACCCACCTTACCAATTCCTTGTCTACCACAAGGCCACCTTTCCCTGTGCACTGAGGGCTCTAGCCTCAGCCTTGGACCCTTTCACCTCTTTCAGGTGCCCACATTCCCTCTCCAGACTATCTTCTTCTCTTATGTAAGCTGCCCATATTACATAAAAATTCAGTGTAGGCATTGATGCCAAAGGAAAATACATAAGGCCTAGGAGACGGATGTATTCGTGAAAGTTTCACCCCACTGAAGATCAAATTTCTCCACAGAAATGAGACTAAGTTTACCATCTGATTCATTCAACACTAGTAATTTTATTTCAAAATATAAATATTTCACATTTACAAAGAGGTTACATTAGAAGTTTGTCAAAGCAAGTTAAAGCCAAGAAGTAGCATCTGTGTGAGAATAAAGAATATGTACTGTTATATTTGAATAAACTTTTTTGCTTTCAAACCATCTCTACTTTGCCTGAGAATGCAGAGGATATCTTTTCCAAAAGTTACATAAGCAGTTACAACTATATATCCAAGCTTGGTTTCCGAATCAAATGGTATTTGAAATATACTCTAGTCACCCAAACAAGTGGCACTGCAAAAGACAGAAGAAGGGTTTTCTTGGGGACAGCTATAATGAGAGTTACACCTTCTGGGTCACTGCAATAAAAAAGAAATAGGATTTGGTAATAGCCAAAATGATGTTACTTTAAGATTCATTTCCACACCTTTCACTGTAAGCTATAAAGCCAGAAGAAAAATAAGAAACCAGGTATGGAGTAAAGAACTCTGGACTTGGAGTCAGAAGTTCTGCCACTGAATTCTGGCTCCATCATTTAAGGTATAAACTTAAGGGAAAATTCACAAAAAACCTTTCTGAGCCTCCAGTGCCTCATTCAATAATACTTAACGCCTGCCTATCTCACAGGGTTGTTAAGAAAGCAGTCTGAAAACTATAAAGTGACATACAAAAGCATTATAAAAATGTAATATCAATATATCATCACTGTATCTGCACATTACTAGATCCTGGAAAAACTTGCAAAACTAAACACAAATACTGATTTTACACACCATAGGTGGAAAAGAATCTCTATACTTGACGTATAGCTCTGAATGGCAAATAGGTTCTCTTTCTGGTATCTCACTAAACTTTGAGATTTATTATAGTTTATGTGGTACTATGGTAACAGATATACCATTCAGAATTTCCATTAAGGATGTCTCCTAAAAGAGCTGTAAACTTACTCGAGAGCCATGTTTCCCAAAGGACTAGTAGTCCTTGGAGAAGCTCTGCTAAAAGGATGGGAGGGTGGGGGAGGGGAGTGCAGTTTAAGGTCAAATAAGTGTAGTAAACACAATCTGTCCCCTCATAAGTTCACAATATATAATAGCACGCTAAAAACTCTTAGAAGTCCTACAGAAAGGAAACAACTCAGCATTCCTCAATTTTAACTGACCATGGAGTCCCCTCCCCCCATGCCCACTTTTGTCTCTTATAACATCTAATAACATCTCTTGAAACTACTGCTATAAGGAACACATTTTTCCAAAAGCTGCTCAGCTATAAGGGAAAGGGAAGAGACACAGAACAGTGGGCTAAGGAAAAAAAAAAACAACTGTATTCTACTCAGAATTCTGTTACTAACTGACTCTCTGTGTGGTAGAAAAGCCACTTTAATCTGGATTTATTTTCTCCCCTAGAAAATGACAGGATCGCCTAATTATGTAAGGCCCATTCTAGCACAGAATTTCTATGACTAGTAGACAGATCATCTTGATTTACAATTCTCTTATTTTTAAACTATCAAAAAAAAATAACTGCTCAGTGGTTTCAGGTAGCACATTTTTTGCAGGTCCTTAATAAATTAATGAAATGAATATATTTTGATGGCAAATGTGTAAGGACAAAAACTAATTAAAAAAAAAAGTTGCTCTCAGCTGGAACTAACACTTGGAAGTATATTGCCAGAGACTACCTCCAATATGAAATGCCTAGTGTAATACTCTTGTAAGGGTCTTAGAAGACCCCTACAGGAAACTGCCAGTCAGGACTAGAGTATGGGAAGTTCTGAAGGGGTTTTTCCTACAAACCCTGACGCTGAGAGCCCTGGATAGCTCACCTAAAATTCTTTTGCTCTAATCTAACCCTTCATGGCCTGAATTTCTGAGTATTTCTTGCCCAGTAGGGACACATTCTAAAGCACTAGATACAACCAGTGTGGGAACTAGGGGTATGAGTAAGGTCACAATGGGTATTTAAGACCAAGGTTAGCCAGAGAACCTCATCTGCAAGCCTTTTAGCAGCCCTTTAACTGGAATAAACAGCTGCTGTTTCCAAAGGCTCTGAGTTTGTTTAAATACAGCAGGCCTTCAGAACACTTCCTGGGTAATCCTCTTTGTCAAGAGTCAATCTACACCAGTCTCACAAGTCACAGGAAAATTCTACCAGCTAACTACCTCTAATGGAAGAGAGTGGTAGGAATCCTCACAAGTTTAAACATAAATAAGAGTTGTATCTCAGGCAGTGTGACAGATCACTTCCAGAAACACAGAATGTGACAGGAATTTTGGAACTGCAGAAGGATTTATAGGACATGGTGTTTATGCTAAAAATGCTATACCTTATTCTCGGAAGAGAGAGGAGCACATCTGTGTGGAGACTTTTATCTTTTCTCATTCCCCCATTCGGTTTACAACTGAAATAGTGAATGTGAACTTAAAACTAATCTTTAATAAAGCTATAAAATTGTAAGACTTGTGATAGGCTTTCTGCATCCGTGTTTACTGAAGCTACTTCATCCATGCACTGTCTGTTCCTAGGAAATGTACTCTTTCTGGGACAAATCCTGGGAATCTGGGGGCAAGCCATTTTGAGACCTGAGCTTGAGACTCCTTGCTTTTCATGCCACGTGAGCTCTGTGCCCTGTGAAAATCTTGTAAAGCCTCTTCACTGTCTGTCTGAGGGGATAGGTTTCTCTGGCCGAGGGCTCCTCCCCCAGCTGGTTGGCCTTCGGAGTCCTTCTGCGCTTGCGGAAGCACCAGCGCAGTTCCGGTCTCCTCATGAGGACCGTGTGTAGGACTGATTTTTTAGGTGATATTACATCACTGCCCATTTTGGGAGCTCTAAACTATTCTCTTAGGGCTCCAAGTTCTTTTCTAAAGAATCTGGTATTTATACTAATAATTATGACCGGCAACAGCCATACATTAGCTGGAGTTTAGTCTTTTGCAGTATCACTTTATTCAGCTAAAAACACTTTGGAGGAACATAATTTGTTTATGCACACTAAACTGTGTCTAACACTTGCCGCTTATGAATATGTGCCAATTATAGCTATAAACTTATCAGTATACAATTAACAAAAACAAACCTGATTTCTTTTTTAACCCTTTTACTGCAAAATTCATAATTTTAGCAAGCACATGATCTGGCTAAGATTTACGGTGGGAGAAGGCCTTCCCAGGAGCTATCCCCTATAGCACCCTGTACAGCGGTTGGCATGGAAACCAGAGAGGGCCAACTCTCAATGAATGTGTTGCTGAACGAATGACTGAACAACTGGCTAAAGAAAAAAAGGAGTCGGTTAGCGGCCAAATGGAACAGTTGGTGTAATATCAGATTATAATTGTAGAAGAACAGTAAAAACAAGAGATCTGCATGCAGTCTACTGTATAAACAGTCAAAACCTTCACAGTAGCCTCTTTCCTAAAGGGAGTTAATTTCTTAAGTAATATCAGAATGAATTTAAGCTAATTATCACTGACTATGCTTCTCAGTGAGACAATGGTTTAGAAAAAGAAGGATTTCTACTTTTAAATGTTTTCCAAAGGGAAGTCTTTGATATTCAGGAACACTTTCTCCTCCATATTCCCCTGGGGATGGAGAAAGAGCCTGATGATTGTTTTCTACCGTGGGAAGGACACCAAGCTAAGAGCTGGGTTCTAGTCCCAGCCTGTCATTAACTGCAGGACAAGTGCTGGGAAAACTGCAAAAGGAATTAGAAGAAAGGCTACAGCAGAGCAGAGCTGGCAGACAGTGAAGTCAGAAAAATTTGAGGTAAAAATCTTACTAAACTTTTCTGAACCTTAGTTTTCCCATCTGTATGAAAGTGTTATAAAATACCATAAAGCTGTATGAAAGCTGCCGGGAAGTGATAGTGAAAGAATACGCGCAAAATGACTTTGTAAAATGCAAAGCACTATGCTGGTTATTGCGATGTCTGGGAGACTTAAAAAGTCATAATTCGACAAGCCTTCATCTAGAGTCTTAGGTGCAACGCACTCTGCCAAGTGATGGAAAAATACTACCTAACTGTAACATTCTACTGCTAATAAGTAACTAATTGGCAGAATTCCAAGTAAGTAAACAGGGATCCATTTAACAACTCAGAGAACTGTTACTCCTGAGATTTTTCACTTAAAGCATTTGGAAAGAAAAACTGAACCACAACATGAATTCTGTCATACTGGTACCATTAACAGCAGCTTAGTAAGTATGTTGCTTCAAAGTAGTCAACCAAGTTTTAAGAATTTGGCAATAGTGTAATGGCAGATGGAGGGAGGAGAAAGGGCAGGAAGAGCTTGTTTTTCTGTGGCTCCTGTGGTTGCAACACACACCTAGATGACCTTGAAATAAGCCACCCCACCTTACACTTCTAGAGGGGAGTAGGTACAAGGGTAGAAGGCTTCCTTTTCCCGCTCAAACAACTACATATTCAAAAGTGAAAAACCCTCTTCATTAAAACGTGACGGTCATAAAAAAGTTCAAGAACAGATTTCTTAAACCAGAAGAAAATTACATGGCAAATACTTTTAACAGCAGGTAGTTCAGGACTCTTAAAATAACTTTATAAATACATATAATAATAATATAGATAACCAAAAGTGGGAAATTTCGAGCCATGGTACCAGTGTATAAACTGAAACTTTTCAAGCCATCTTAGCAAGAAGTAAGTGAGCAAACCACAATTCTGAGCTCTAAAGCTGTGCTTTAAAAGGCAAAGCAACACACAGCAAGTTCTCTCTTGTCCAGGCATTCTGTTTGGAAGGCCAGGAGGGTTCTGCTTCTTTCCTGGGCTCTGTTTGCTAGGCACAGATGAAAGGACAGAAGGCCACAGCTGGGCTGAACTCACTATCAAGACTGAACCTCCTACAGAAATCACTCTGTTGCAAACCATGTCAGTTTACTGAAGATTTCAGATCGTCAGAAATATCATGGCAAGTCCTGTAAGGAGAAAAGAGAGAATGATTAGTTCTGCTTTTGGAAAGAGGGGAGGGGGTGTGGATGAAGCCAAAGAAATACTTTAAAAAAAGAAAAGCACAACAGTGTCCAACCAGTAAGTAATTACCATAGAACAACATTTTATTTTTATAACCTGAGAGCCTTGACAAGGTTATATGGTCACTATGTATCGCTAATACTTTCACCAAGTATTGTTTCAAAGTCAGCTAGTTGGCTCTCCGTCTTTGGTAACAAGAATTCTTTTTTTTTTTTTTTTTTGCTGGGTCCATTGTCTCCCATCCAAGACAATCTCCCCAGACTCCCTTGAAACCATGTATGACCGACCATGTGACTAAGTAGTATCTAGTCTGGATGGAGTTGTCTGCTGCACATCTGAGGTGCCTACCTTAGCACTGTAGGTGCTGCACATCCGAGGTGCCTACCTTAGCACTGTAATAGCTAGCTCGCCTTTGCTACATCATTTACATGCCTGAGCTAGGAGGATGTGACCCAGTCTGGTCTGTATCTGTGGTGGCCAGGTCAGAGTTTATTGATGATGAGCTCAAGATCTTACCCGAAAAGACCTCATACCAAGGTGGCAGAACAGGATGTAGGGAGACTGGGCATGAATGTTTGTGGAACAGCCATACGAGTCCTAGGCTGCCTACTTCTGGCTTCTTTTGCCCAAGAAATAAACCTCTAGCTTATTTAAGTCATTGTTATTTTGAGTTCTCCTGCTGGTGGAAACTCTTTAGTTTAGGGGGCTTTTTTTCTGTTTATATACAGTCAAATCTATCTTAAATGATAAAGAGACAGGGGCGCCTGAGTGGCTCAGTCAGTTGGGCATCTGCCTTTGGCTCGGGTCATGATCCCAGGGTTCTGGGATCGAGCCCCACATCGAGCCCCGCATCGGGCTCCCTGCTCTCCGGGAAGCCTGCTTCTCCCTCTCCCACTCCCCCTGCTTGTGTTCCCTCTCTCGCTGTGTCTCTCTCTGTCAAAAAAAATAAAATCTTAAAAAAAAAAAAAAAAGATAAAGAGACAAAGCACACATATATTACCCTTTCAGACAGAAGTTACATTGCTCCTTTACAGCAATATCACCAACTAGGAACTCAGAAAAACAGTTGAGCTTAAAATGTTTGCATTTTTCAAAACAATTCTAAAATCTTCAAGTTATAACTTGTAGCCCTCTCACTATACTATGTGGTATCTTCTTAATTTTTTTTTATCAGTCAAATAAAGCCCATTTTATTTTCATACCTATAACCAAGTGTTGTTACTGTACACAGATGACTCAACTTTTTTATTACAAACAGACCTAAAGTGGAATATAAGGAAAGTACTCCAAAAATTCAGAAAACTCAGCTGTAGATACAAAAGGTGACAAAAAGTTGTCATTAAGTACAAATCATCTAAAACATCATAAAGCAAATAATCTGTACATCAGGTGCAACTGTGCACTCACGCCACCCGTCTTACCCCTTTCTGCCTTCTTCCTTTGTCTTCTCAATTTTCGCGTCACACTACGAGGCGGGCCAGCTGGGTGGAGCAGAGGCAAATGAAAGACTAACCCTTTAGCATAATGTCAGAAGTACTTCAGAATCAAGAGGGCACAGGCAGCAAGTTACAGAAAAGAGATTACATTCAAGAACACTGCCCTATCTCAAGGCTGCCTCCCTGGCGGGGGGCCCTGGCCTCTGCACCTCTGACGCTTGCCTCCACCAGCAAGGCCCTACATCCAAAGGAACAGCTCGGAAGAATGGCTAAGCTTCCTGGCTATGGCTTTGAAAGGGCATGCGTGTGACATGGCCCAACCCACCACGCTGAATATATGCTGACAAGAGAAAGAATTGGAATGAACTTTGTTTCCTTAAGTAATTTTACATTCTGAAAGAAATCCCCCAAAACGAAGACTTCTATCCTCCCAGGTTTTATATGTGTTACTGTCCACCTGTATATCAAATCAGGGTTTCTCAACAGCAGCACCATCGACATTTTTGTGCATGGTAAGATATTTAGCAGTATCCCTGCCTCTAACTGCTGGAGTTGTGACAATCAGAATGTCTCTAGACATTGCCAAGTATCTCCTGAGGGGAGCAAAACTCACAACTCCCACCCAGAACCATTGCCCTAGGTGTCTATTTATGTATCTATTTTTCACACTCTCACCTAAATTTGTGTTCTTACATTTGTGTACAGGCAAAGTTGGCTACCAGCTGTGGGAAGCCGTGGAAAATCTTTAAAACCAATAACCAAAAATTTGCCAATATTAAAAAGCATTTCCCAATACACATTAGGTTTCTAAATTCACCCTTTGACATCTTTTCACATTTCTAAGATATCTGCAAGTTTGAATCTCTATTCAGTTCCTCTATATTATGAATGAAAATTTCTGCCTCAGGGCAAAGATGCATGAAATGAGATTAAGACTGTGGTTGGCCTGGTGACTGCTTTCTGTTGACAAGTAAGCTTAGCTGTCACCTTGAAATTCATACCTACTATTCAATTCTGCCCCCAGGCCAAGAAAGCCTAGAAAAGGACCCAGAAAAAAGGAAAACAAACTGAAGCAAGCTAAGAAAACAGTTACTAACAATTTTCCAACTCAACATTCTATCTTCTCTAGATGTTTAGAGTGGCAATGGCAGGGTGTACGTGTGTGTGCGCGCGCGTGCATGTGAAGCCTACAGAAGTAACACTTATCTTTTTTTTTTTTTAAGATTTTCACTTATTTATTTTAGAGAGAGTGACTGCGTGCACAGGGAGAGGGAGAGAATGCTGAAGCAGACTCTCCGCTGAGCTCAGAGCCCCACACGGGGCTCAATCCCAGGAACCCGAGATCATGACCCGAGCTGGGTTGAAATCAAGAGTCAGCTGCTCAACCAACTGAGCAGCCCTGGCGCCCCAGAAGTAACAATGATCTTAAATAAATGTCTATCTCCTGGAAAACAAACTCCCTAACCTAATGATACAGAAATAATTTATTTCTGTCCTCATGGAGAAGCACTGGGCTCACAAATCAGCAGGGTTCATAAATCCTGACCTCTCTAGAATAGGAAGAAACAAAGGGATAATACTGCATTGACAGTATGTCTAGAAATGGTAAATGTCCTACCTCAGTCATCTAAATACAGTATTCTTTAAAAATAAATAAATACAGTATTCTTTTCCAAACCATATGGATTATTATATGCTAAGAACTACAGTGGTAGAATTTCTCATTTAAGAGCAAGAAAAGCAGAACAGGACCACACGTGGTTGGAGGGACAGAGACTGCTATTAACATTTTACAGTTATGGCAATGGGGAATGTGCAGTGTGATTTCCCATTTACAATCCCAGCTCCTTGAATTCTGAATTTTCCTCCCCAAAAGATTTCGGTAAGATTTTTAAAAATTCGTTTATGTAAGTGTTTAAACTTTTTCTGATTTGACAGCTCAAGAGCTGTTGACTCCTTGCCTCCTAAAGATACAGAATAAACGTTGGACATTTAAAAATAAAAAGCTTTACCTGACTAAATTAACGTAGTTGGCTTGGCATAGCTGAGTGTGTATTTCCAAACCCTCACCTCGCACACATGTGCACAATCTTGTGACAGAGCACATGGCATCACTATTAGGCACATCCCTTACTTTCTGACAAATCCGGAATATAGCACTAAGGCTGGGGCTTACTATGTCCCATCCTCTTTTGTCAGCCTCAAGGTGATATTGCAAAAATCTTTTTATCTGAACTGTTCTTGGTTTCACTAATCTATTAATTCATCAAATGTTCACTGAGCATTTTTTATGTGCTGGACACCATGCTAGGAATGGTAAAAGAGTAGTAAACAGATGAGACCTAGCTCCTACTTTCAGAAAGCTTACCAACTACTGGGAAAGATGATTAATTAAAACGACACAGTTATAATGTGTATTAAGCTCCAACAGGTAAGTGGAAGATGCTGTGGTGCGGGGGACCACTAGTTGGGAGCCTTACGCTCTGGTGTGTCCACGACATTCACCCCCATCAAATACTGCAAACAGCATTATCAACAGTGATAATCAGAGCAGGGGGTCCTCCCTCCTTCGTTTTTCCTGTAGGTGGTAGTTCACAGAAACGGTCTTGCAAATGCGTACTTGTAGCTACCAGTGCCTGCGCCTGCAAAGAGAAGGTATGTCCGCCTAACAAAATACAACCATCCACCCTCTACTATCACACTGCAGCAAGCCTGGTGTGTCTGAGGCCCCAAGAAAAAGCCTGTGTGGCAGCAGCTCAGACCGCAAGAGGAAAGGGTTCAGGATCAGATCAGGTAGGGCCTTGCAACCATGTCAAGGATTTTGATCTCCCTCCTAAAACCAACGGGAGGCCATTTTTGGTCAGCCAGGGTCACGATCAGATATGCCTGCATTTTGAAGAGAACATGTCAGCTGCAGTGCAGAGAAGGGACGAGAGAACTGTACAAGCGGAGGGCGGGAGACGTTAGAAGACTAAGATGACCATAGCAGTCCAGGTGAGAAATGCAGCAGCTGGGCCCAGCTCAGACCAGGAGGCGTGGCACTGGAGATTCAGAGGAAGAAGATTCAGAGATGCTGAGACAAACGGACAGCACTTGGTGAGGGCAGTGAACAAGGAGGTGGGGAGTAGTAAGGATGACCACAAACTGGCCCACAGAAGTGGAGCGTAACGTTCCCTGAGTGTAACAGGACGACGTTTGCTCTTGTGGAAGGGAAGAGGATGGCTCAAGAAGGAAAAGAAAGATCATTAGTTGAAACGCACCGGCTCTCCTGCTTTTTAGCTGGGTGGCTATGGGCAAGGGAACCTCTCTAAGCCTTGAGTCCCTCATCTATAAAACATGGAAGCCTCCAATTCCTAACCTATATGCAAACACTGGACAGATCAAATAAAATAACACACGTAAAGTTTTATCACAGAACTTCACCCCAATAAACGTCCCCAGAGGTTGTGTTTGTTCAGACTTCCCACTGAAGGGTGAGGTACTGAACACACACTTCCTTCAAGCCCTTT